TAGAGGGGAGGGGGGTGGGAAGATGGGTTAGCCTGGTGATGGGTATTAAAGAGGGCACGTTCTGCATGGAGCACTGGGTGTTATACGCAAACAATGAATCATGGAACACTACATCAAAAACTAATGATGTAATGTATGGGGATTAACATAATAAAAGAAAAAAAAAGAAGCAAAAGAGCTAAAATGAAGAGTACCACTGTGCCCAGTAAGTACCAATTTGGAAAAGCATGTGCCCGCCAAGTTTTGTTTTGCTGGCTGCTTAGAAAGGGCCACTACCCACGTGACACTCTCTGCCATCCCCAGTGGCTTCCAGACGCGGTGAGGCCCTGAGACCTTGACCTGTGTCTGCTCCCCCCACAAACAGGACATTCTAGTGATAGAGGCTGTGGCACAAAAAGCCTCCCTCAAGAAAATTTAAGATGAGGAGGAGGCGGGCCCAATGATTGTTTTTGCCAGAATGAGAGCATAACCTCGGGGATTCTCCCTCAGAAGTCGCGAGTCCTCTGACAGGGCTGGCGCCAAAGGGTGGCTGGAAAGACTCCCCACTCCCCCGCATCCACCTTTTGAGGTTCTTTTTTATCCCCTGTAGGGTGAACTGATGCTTTTTCTATCTCGTGGCAAATGTGAGTCAGCTTGTTTGGAAACATTGGCTTGTACTGATCTGTACCACACATGGTGGGCCAATCCTACCTCAGCGCACGCCCCTTTGCCTGACACCTGATGGTCCCCCCATCCCCGATTTGACAGCCACATGGGGGTTCTCAGGGTGAGCTCTCAGTAACACCAGCTGCCTCCCCGATAAGGAGCGAGTCAAAGAGAATCCAGAATGTGGGACAAATCCCTCTGACTCTCAAGCCCAGAACAGTAACAAAATTTCTGACACCAAACTGTGTCACGGGTGCACACCCTAAATAGAATCTGTTAATCTAGAACCATCCACTGATAATACCACAGTAATTAAAAAGAAACTGCTGCAGGTAGGCTGGCTGGTGTCTAATGTTTTTAAAGGTGCTTTTGTTCTTCCTTAATTGCTCCTGAAACATTTCAGAACCCATGGAGCAAAATATTTACTGAAACACATGCACGGACTCACACACTTGCAACAAAGGTATAAGTTAGCCACACAAAGGAAGAGATCGAACTATGGAAGAGATCTCAGCTTGAGGTCATCCTTGGTCTTTTCAATCAGAAATCTGTCTCCAGAGGAGTGGACACAAAACACGGGCAAAATGGGAGATACAATTTCGCAGAGGGAGAAGCACAGAGCAACTCATAATCATCTTACTACAGACCCGATTTGCTCCTCCTCAAAAAATGTCTCAAGAAGAGAAGAAAAGAAAATATAAGATGGACAATTGGGATATATTTAAGACTAGGAACTAATTTGAATTCAAATTGCAGGCGTGGGGAGCTGTGTTGCTCAGTCTGGCCTTGTCACTGAAGACGTTAAGAACAGTCAGGCATGGGGTGCCTGGGTGGCTCAGTCAGTTAAGGCGCTGCCTTCGGCTTAGGTCATGATCCCAGGGTCCTGCGATCGAGTCCAGCATCAGGCTCCTTGCAGGGGGGAGCCTGCTTCTTCCCCTGCTTGTACTCTCTGACAAATAAATAAATAAAAGCTTTACAAAAAAAAAAAAAGAACAGTCAGGCAACTGGGCAGCAAAGGCCGAGAGAATCTGGATCAGTCTGATCATGCCTGACGCCATGTTAGCTGAAATCCTTACACTATTTATCACCGCGGTCTGAAGCAAGCACTCAGGCTGAAACAGAATGTTTCCCTGTTTCCTTGGTTTTACAAGGACTTCGTATAGCCATCAGGGAAATTCAAATCAAAACCACATTGAGATACCACCTTACACCAGTTAGAATGGCAAAAATGGACAGGGCAAGACACAACACATGTTGGAGAGGTTGTGGAGAAAGGGGAACCCTCTTACACTGTTGGTGGGAATGCAAGTTGGTACAGCCACTTTGGAAAATAGTGTGGAGGTTCCTCAAAAATTTAAAAATAGAGCTACCCTATGACCCAGCAATTGCACTACTGGGTATTTACCCCAAAGACACAGATGTAGTGAAAAGAAGGGTCATATCCACCCCAATGTTCACAGCAGCAATGTCCGCAATAGCGAAACTGTGAAAAGAGCCGAGATGCCCTTCAACAGATGAATGGATAAAGAAGATGTGGTCCATATACACAATGGAATATTACTCAGCCATCAGAAAGGATGAATACCCATCTTTTACAGCAACATGGATGGGACTGGAGGAGATTATGCTAAGTGAAATGAGTCAAGGAGAGAAAGTCAATTATCATATGGTTTCACTTATTTGTGGAACATAAGGAATAGCATGGAGGACATTAGGAGAGGAAGGAAAGAATGAAGCGGGGGGGAAATTGGAGGGGGAGATGAACCATGAGAGACTATGACCTCTGAGAAACAAACTGAGGGTTCTAGAGGGGAGGGGGTTGGGGAGATGGGTTAGCCCGGTGATGGGTATTAAAGAGGTCACGTTCTGCATGGACCACTGGGTGTTATACGCAAACAGTGAATCATGGATCACTACATCAAAAACTAATGATGTACTGTATGGTGACAACAACCTAATAAAATTAAATTAAAAAAAAAAGGTCAGACAAGCAGTCAGAGAGAGGTTCCTGTGTCCTTTGGGAAGCAGCCTTCCTAGCAGGCCAGTGCCAGCAGACTCCAGGGCCAGCGCGAGCCCTTTCTGCCTCTTACCATTACTGACTTCATCATGAACACTGTCGGTGGATTTTAAAGAACAAGATTAAATGAAGTTGAAAGAAGTGGGGCCCGTGGCTGACCTTCGCTCTCTGATATATGATCCGTCCTATAATCTGCGTGCTGTTGAGCATATCCTCTCCTGGTCCCATAGCAATGCACATGCTAGACTGCAACACAGGGAGACAAGACGGACTCTCGGTGAAATAAGCAATGGTTTTAAGGAATGCAAAATTACAAGGGAAGCTAAGCAAACATAGTTTTAAACCCACATTCTAGCATTTCTTGTCAGTCTCTCAATCTACAGATTATGAGAAGCAAAATCATTCATGGCATTGGAGCAGCGAAGATCTTCAGAAATCACATATCACAGTGCCTTATTTTTACAGATAAGGACACTGAGGCTCAGGTGGGTTGGACGATTTGTTGGAGATTATATAGGAAGCTAATATGTGAGCTAAGACCTAAAGCCAAGTTCCCCATTGGTTGCACATCTTCCTACCTGTCTGTTCTTGCCTATGGCTCATGATTGCCTTCAATTGAAACTCAGTTAAAATTATATTGGAACAACTAGATGATCCTCTGGGAAAGATCAGTACATAAATCTGGCTCTTTACTTCACTTCTTATATGAGGAAATTTTGAGATTGACCAGATACTTAAATATTATAACTGAAAATTAAAAAGTATTAAAAGAAAATATGGATGAATACTTTCTTAATACCTTTTGATTCATCCATACTGAGTTGGGTTTTCTCTTATTTGCAGTCAAAAGCATCCTATATGTGTATCAAAATTATCACATTGCACACCTTAAAATTATACAATGTTGTATATCAATTACATCTCAATAGAGCTGGGAGGAAAAAAGCAAAAAAAAAAAAAGATCCTAATGGATATACAATGGAATATGGATGAAATAGGTAATTTACAAAAATGAAGTTTAAATGGCCATTCAACATTAAAATATATTCAGTCTCATGATTAAATATAAATTTAAACTACAAAACTCTTTGCGTGTTGTGTTGGCAAAGACTGAAAGATTGATAAACTGGGTGTCAGTGAGAGTTTGGGGAAACTTTCACTCATGCTCTGTTAGGGGGAACGGGACTGACAGACACCTCATGGTGGCTATGCTTTCCCTTTGACAGCAAATTCACTTCTAAGAACTTGCCCTAGGGGCGCCCTGGTGGCTCATTCAGTTAAACATCCGGCTCTTGGTTTCAGCTCAGGTCTTGACCTCAAGGTCGTGGGATCGAGTCTCACATCAGGCTCCGCGCTTAGCGGGGAGTCTGCTTGAGAGTCTCTCTCTCCCTCTGCCCCTTCCAAATAAATAAATAAATCTTAAAAAAAAAAAAGAATTTGTCCTAAGGTGAAACTCATACACGCATGAAAATATGTACAACATAGCAACCAGAGCATGTTTATATGATGGAAGGAAAAACAGAAGAGAGAGGATGTGAAGGAAGAGAAGAGGGAGGGAAAGAAAGCTCTCATCAGTAGGGGATTGGTGAACTCATTTAGGGTACTTAACATTGAAAACTATGGCATTAGTTTAAGTGTTGTTTTCAAGTATATTCACTGAAAACAAGAAAGCAGGTTCCAGAACAGCATTACGGTAGGAACTCATTTAAATACAACTGTACATGCAGACAGGTGGCTGGACACAGACCATTAAATTTTTAACAGGTTCATTGTGGGGTTAGGGGCTGCTCCTTTACATGTTTTGTTTTCTGAACTTTTCAGTATTGTTTGAGTTTTTAACAAGCATATATCTTTTTTTACATCAAAGCTAGTTTCTAAAGTTCAAAAAAATCTGTTTGAAGAAGCAACATTAAAGCAAAAGACATGGCAATATTTGCCCATTTCTCTCTTTTGGTTTCTTAAGTGAATCACGATTTTCTTCAGAAAGGCATCTCTTCTTTAACAGTCAGTGATTCTATTCCCAGTTCCAGGTCAGTCTAAGATGATGACGGCCATCCCCTGGACATTGCCAAAGACTGGGAAGAAACCCCAGCTTATGCCAATCAGCACATACCCTTTCCCCAGGAACTGCTTTGGTCCAGGAATGGGTTTATACCTCCATTGACCCATTTGGGCTGAAAAGAACTTTTATTCCATGGTTAGAAGAGAGGTTTTCTCTGTCTCCTACCGTATATGGGGTGGGGGTGGGGGGGAGAAGGATACCCCTTCCTCAGTACTGACTGCCCTCTTGCAAACATGAAGGAAGCCAATCTAACAGATGGAGCGGAACAGAGAGAAACAGAATTCTGTTGTGGGAGAGGGTATGATTTTCTTGTAATTTTTTATGATTACAAAGTATGCTCATGGTAGAAAAAAATGCAAAAGTGTATAAATAGAATAAAAACAATAAATAAGATAAATAGAATAAACACCCCCTATAATAATGCCAAACAGAGAAAACCAGGGTTAACAATTCAGTGTATTTCACTTTGTCTTTTTACTATGACACATTTATTTTCAAAACTGCAATCATCATGAATATGCAATATTAAAGCCAATTTTCTTAATCAACATCGTGTACTATGAGCTTTTTCCCACATTACGTATTCCAACACAACACACTGAGTTGATGCATAATATTCTATTGCAAATAGGTCTCATAATTTATTTAAGCATTTCATCTCTGAATTTTGGAATTTAACAAGTAATCTTTAAATCTAATGATTAGATCAATTATTGACTTAATTGTTGAATTGTTGATTAATTATTGAATTAATATTGTGTGGAAATTTTACAAATGAAGGGTAATAAAGGAAGACTTTCCATATAAAAATGGTAATATATAACAGAAAAATAGAATTGTTAAAACCATACTACTCATTGGGTGGCATTGCCTGGAATAGAAGTAATAGCCCAGAAATGATGTTTAATAAAAGTAATATCACAGGTGACATGTTCTAAATACAAAAAGAATAAGAGCCCAGAAACTAGCATCTGTTGCTCAAGTCAAAGCTGAAAAAAAACCTAAATGAACATGGCAGAGAAGCAGTTAAATAAACAATGGTACAGCCATTCTTGTTGTCTTTAAAACCTACCACACAGACCTATATATAGTCATAAAAAGATTTTAAAGACCTATGAGGTGGAAAACTCGAATCCCAGACCAATAAAAAAAAATCAATAAATAAGTTACAAAATTTTGTTCATGAGTACTTAAGTAAGTATGTAGAAAGAGGTGTGATAGTCGTAACTCATGGTGAGGCAGGGAGGAAGGGAGTGAATAGGACTCACTTATTACGGCTGTCTGTGTTTTCCATGTTGTGTGAGTTTTTACAGCAAGATTTTTTGCTTGTGATTTTATTTTATTTTAATTTCATTTTTTTAAAGATTTTATTTATTTATTTATTTGAGAACAAGCAGGGGGAGTGGCAGAGGGAGAAGGAAAAGCAGGATCCCCACTGAGCAGGGAGCCTGACGCGGCACTCGAACCCAGGACCCTGGGATCATGACCTGAGCCGAAGGCAGATGCTTAACTGACTGAGCCACTCAAGCGCCTGTTTGTGATTTTAAAGAAAAAAAAAAAAAAAAAGTTGATCTTATATTTTTTTTAAAATCCTATAGACTTTCCCATCAGTGAGAAACATCTCAGGCAGGCAGTTTCTGGTACTAACTCGTGACGTCAGAAATGCCAAGGTGAAGTGTTTCAGACTGTCCAAATTTGGGGAAGGGTATTCCATCTCTGACATTGACTAACTTCACTTAGTGGTCAATCCAATGGGAAACCAGAATTTTACCCAATCAGAATTTAGTGGGTGCTTCTGAGAAGAGGAAAAGCTAGCAGTCAGTAGGCCTGTGTATACTTGAGAAAAACATAATTATAAGTTAATGGTGGATATTTAAACATAAAATGCACATGAGATGCAAAAACAAAGATTTCATGTCACGATTACCTACCCCACCGATAGGACAAGAGCTATTGGCATTATCACAAGACTCTCCTGTGTTGACACAGTGTGGGCCAAGAATATTGGGGGACACATCTCCCAGGTTTGATGAAGCAAAGGCTGCTACATATGGTCCCTGCCAAAAGAAACATCCAAGTGTCTTTTATTCTTTCTTATTTCCCATAATGACTTCCATTAAAAATGCAAACATTTAATCCACTCTGGTGAATAATTCAAAATCATTTGCAGACAATTAAAAGGAGGAGGTATAACATTCTGAGAAAATTTCTGAAAAAAAATTCACATTGCAGTCCACATAGATATTACTACCCATGATATCCCAATGATCAATAAAGCCATCTCAAGTAGGAGAGTTTCAAACCTGCGCCACAAACAGAAACTTTTTGACAAGAAACACAGCATACAACAACAACAACAACAGATCATAAAATGCTGACTCATCAAGCTATTCTCTGGTATTATATTTGGAGCTCAGAGATTTTCCTTGAAAAATGAATCTACTGGCTGAAAAAAAATATAGTGAATCCAGATTTTCCTGTGGCAAAACTGAGCCTAAATATAGTGTCCACCATCTAGATCTGCCTCCGTGTAGCTTTTCTCTTATCCCTTCAACCTGAAGTAACAACACAGAACGTTTTCTGAGTGGTGCAAGACTTTAACCTCAACCCAGCTAGCTGGTCTACCATTCTACCTTCAATGTCTTCAGTTTTCTTAGGGAAAGAGATAACGGAGATCATGTGTCTCTTTGCATACCAAAAAGATAACTTATCTCAATGGGCCTAGCAGCCAGTGATCATAAATGGGAACTTCCTTTCTTTCCCTAAAACTCAATCTAAAATGAAAAAAAAAAAAAAAGTATTTTGTCAACAAGGAGCTAAAAGATCAGATCAAATGTTCATGGGACCAATAACTTTTATATCATTATACACCTTTTAGATATTTATTCTAGTCAAGGGCCTGGGGCTCTCATCCTCTTCTATTCTTCTGCATTTGGGACTTGGACACTAGGGTCAAACAGAGCAGGGTCCCCCCTCACCACTTAGCTGTCTGTAGTCAGTAATTTACAGAGTTTTCTGAAGTACACAGACTGAGGTCCAGCCCCCATCTCGAATTCCAGCCCTCATTGCGTTTCAAAGTTAAAAAACAAGTCTGGTGCATTAGGGCTGTCTCTGACTTTGGCCTTAGTGAAGGAAAGGAAGACAAACTCCTTGAAAGGAAATTCACCATTAACAGGGAAATCCAGACCAGTGAAAAAGACACATCACCTTATCCTCAGTCGGGTTAACACTTACAGCTCTGAAAACAAAAGTAAACATCAACACAGCTTATCATATTTCCAAGTTGGTCAAAAACCATTCCATATTGCCCAAATCTTGAACTTGTCCTTCCTTATCCAACCAATTGTAACTGTATGAAGCCATCCATATAAGTAGTATTTGACACAGTTAGCCATTTTTAATTTTTCTTTCCCCATCAGGGAGGATGGAGAATTCTTTTTATCCAAGCATGTGAGTATGTGATGACACTTGACGCTGAGAATTTGAATCAGCTACTCTTCTTTTTTTTTTATGTTCAGTTGGCCACTGTATAGTACATAATTAGTTCTTGATATAGTGTTCAATGATTCATTAGTTGAATCAGCTTTTCTGAGCACTGCATGAATGGTGATACTTAGCACATTAAGATGATGCTTTCAATGACACAAATTCTCACCTGTCCAGGTAGATAGCCTTTGTTCTTCTCTTGCTCAAAAAGGTAAGAGGCATAGCCCATGTTGTCGCTATTGACGAGATGATTGCTGTTGTTCATGCTGACTGGGTGGATGGCAAACCAGCTGTAGGAGAAGAATGAGCCCTCGCTTCGTGAAGAGAACCAGACAATGGGGCCAAAAACAATGACTGGTAGCTTAAGTTTTCCCCAGCAGGAAAGGAAATTCTTTTTAATGAGAGGCATTCCACATTTAGATTCTTTCATTGTTGATGAGCTTAAATGATTAGTAATATACTCCAAAAGTCTAATCATTTACTTAAATTAAAAATATAAAACTCTATTTTTATAACTATCTCATCATCATCATCATCAAAAGCTTTTAACAAGAGCCAAGACTGGTCAGTGACCAGACAATATAGCTAACGCATTGTGTAGGCAGAGACTTTGTCCTCTAAGACAGGTGCACATAATAATTATTAAAATCAATCCTATCTAATTCAGCAGATATTTACTGAGAGTCTGCTGTGTGCTGAGCACTGAACAAACTGCAGTTTACGCTCAGAATCTTGCAGAAGACAAAGATGCAAACAAATGGCTTTAATACAGTGTGGCAAATATTGTAAAGAAAGAGGCATCAAGTATTTGGGGATCACAGATGACTAGCAATTAATTCGTAAGGGCATTCCAGGGAAAAGGCACAAGAGAGTAAGTGCAGAGAGGTGTGAAAGAGGCTATTATACATAATTTGATGTATCCTTGTGCATAGTAATACCTTGTTTAAGTGTAGAGCTACACAGTTTATGAACTAATTTCACATCTGTTACCTTACTTGAACTTCACAACAACCCTGAGAGCTAGGCAGTTATTCCTTCCACTTCAAGGTGTCTCAGAGAGGCAAAATGGCAGCCCATGGGTCATCGAGGACCAAGACTAAAGCTCGGGTCCCTTGACACCTTGTCCAGTGGCCTTTGTAGGCTCAAACCTTCACAAAGGTGAAAAAGAGACTTATAGAATGGAGGGCTATGAAGCAAATTCACTAGAATTAATGCTCAAGAAAAGAGAGACGCCAATCTCTAAAGTTTCAGGCCAATTTAAGATTTGTAAAAAAAAAAAAAATCCTTTGTGGATTTAGGTCCTTGCTGAAAGCTTTTTAAGTATTTCAGTTTACATTCCTACCTAAGTAATAGAGTGCACAAAACTGAGCATTTACTTAATGACTAGGGATGTTTCTAAACTTCAAGGCCGTCATTCCGGATTCAGTCCTCATTGCCCAACAACTGTATATGTAGGTCAGAGATCGCCAGCACAACGCCCATGGGAGCTGGGCCGGCAACATAGGTGGGTTAAGCTGGTTGGTGGAATGGGGACTGGCGTGAACTGTGGATACCTGGAGGCACCTGCATGGTTTAAAGACCATAGCCTCTACTATGCTGCTTATGAGCGTCTAACCAGTCCTGCCAGATCTTCCATAAATCCATGTTTTTGTGAAATGTTTATCAATTTAAAAACTCTTAAAGAAGTAAAGGGCATGAGAGGAAGGGGTGGGGGGCTGAACAAAATGGGTGAAGGAGAGTGGAAGATACAGGCTTCCAGTTATGGAATGAATGAGTCATGGATATGAGAGGCACAGCATAGGGAATAGAGTCAATGATATTGTAATACTGTTGATGGTGACAGAGGGTAGAAACTCTCGTGGTGAGGGCGCCTGGGTGGCTCAGATGGTTGAGCGTCTGCCTTCGGCTCAGGTCATGATCCCGGGGTCCTGGGATCGAGTCCCGCATCGGGCTCCCTGC